TGCCGAAAAAAAATTAACTGGTTTTGGTTAATTCATCTGTGCTGATTCCAAAAATATAAACCTTTTCTTTGTATCAGCTCTAGTTTTCGAGATATATCATACTTATCAAATACTTAAATATTCTTACATTTCTGTATACTCCACCACTATAAATTCAATTTGTTTATAAACAAACTTAACAAATTCTAAAAAAAATGCATACTAATGACTTCTAATTAAAGTGTACTTATTGGAAATGCCCATAACATGAAATTAGCGCTAATGGCTTCTTACCTATTGTCCGATAAATTCCTATAAAGTCGACTGCATTCCATTGTAAAATTTAGTCTGAACTTGAGTTTCCTCGCAAGAGTTTGTGACACCAGAAATCCATAGCTTCTACAAGCAGGCGTTGTTGTGTGAATAACCCGAACGTTTTTTGCTACATATGTGGCGAGTACATTGTAAAGGAAAGTAGAAAACCAGTTTGCGATTTTATAAAAAGGGCATATCAAGCCTATTCTAGTGTTCATTTAGGAGATGAAGATAAATCCTGAGCTCAGTATGTAGTGTGCAAAACTTGTCTTGAAAACTTGCGACAGTGGACGAAAGGACAACAAAAATGTTTAAAATTTGGTGTTCCAATGGTATGGAGGGAACCAAAAAATCATTTTGACGATTGTTATTTCTGACTTGTGAATATAAAGGGCATTAATCGTAACAATCGACGTACGTGGACATAATCTAACCTGGATTCAGCAATAAGACCAATTCCACATCAGCTTGAGCAGATACCCATTCCAATATTTAGCAGCTTACCTACGTTACCAGAGGATAATGTCGAAACGTTATCTGACGAACTACAGACTAATAGCGTTGGGGAAGACGACAGTGATTTTGAAGGGGATTCAACACGTCCTGAGTGCTTACTCAGGAGGAGCTAAGCGATTTCATTAGAGATTTGAACCTTCCAAAGGATCCTTCCAAGTTGCTTGCCTCCAGACTGAAGGAAACGAAACTTCTTCACCCAGACACCAAAATTACATACTACCGTAATAGAGAAAAAGTGGCTATACAAAATATCCTTGTTTCCTTAGCCCTTAGCAGGACTAAGGGCCAACACTGGAGTAGAAGAAAATGACGTTCTAGAGATGCTTTAGTTCAAGATGATGCTAACGTAGTTAACGAAGCATTGGTCGACCGAGAGAAAATAAAATTACCTCCGTTACATATTAAACTAGGGCTGATGAAACAATTGAAATCCGGAATATTTGATGGGCCTCATATACGACAACTTATAAAAGATTCGCATTTTACAGAATCGTTGACTGAAATTGAGTGTAATGCATGGTGCTCTTTTGTGAAAGTTGTATAAAATTTTCTTGGAAACAATAAATCGGAAAATTACCAGGATTTGGTGGCAGAAATGCTCAACAATTTCAACAAACACGGTTGAGTATTAAAATTTATTACCTCTACAGCCACTCAGACCGTTTCCTAGACCAAGGAACAAGGGGAACGCTTCCACCAAGATATCAAACCGATGGAAGAGAGGTATCAGGGGAGATGGGACACTCACATGATGGCAGATTACTGCTGGAGTTTTCGAAAAAACGAAAACTATAAACTTTCCCTATGATCAATTTTGTATTTATAATAGTAAAAACGCTTATCAAATGTTCGTGGTTTGATGAATAATTCACGACACTGATGTGAGATCATCTGTCTCTTGTAAAAATTAAAATAAATAAACTTATTTGAAATTTCAATAACGTATTAGATCTGAGTAAGAACAGAGCATCTACGAGCTTGTTCTAGATATTTATAGATGTTCAGAACAAATTCTTATATATACGAGTAGTTATTCCCACTGCTCTAACCGAATAGGAATCATATTGCGAGTCGTTGATTATATTTGGCAAGGTGAGTTAGCTTAACGTTCTATTTATCATTACCCAAAACATAAAATAATCCCATAACAAGTTTAAGTTATTGGAAATTATAAATTAATTTCAAATGACTAGGAAATATTTGACACTGAATTTTACCATTTTCAATAGTTCTCTTGAATTATTGGTATAACATCAAATAACACAAATCGGTCATTCTGGATGTCTGACATAATGTTCGTCTCGGCATTAGCCTGTAGAGTAGTCAGTTTCTGTTACGTATTCGACAAACTGTATTGTTTAGAGTAAAATTTCTACAAGTGTTTCAAGGTTTATCACATTTCTTATCACTGACTATAATGGTGTTATTTTCAATTAATCTTTTTTTATTTCAGGATATAATGGGAAAACGGAGATTCTCACCCAACGCTAAGAATAAACATCCTTTAGAGGCGTAAGTTTGATGCTTTTTCTTGACATTCATATAGTAACATTTTTCCATAATTTCTGTATTCTATTGACATTCTTTTTCAGTGATTTCGTCAAAAATGAAGAGGAAGGCAAAGAAAATGAAAAAACTGTGTCATATATTCAAATGGTAAGTTAACAGATCTTGCCTTAGTTCAATTTCCAATGAATATATTTTTATGAAATTTAATGGGAGTTATTCAAAAATATTTGTATTCAATCTAGACTTCATTGTGAGATTTTCAATGGACAGTTCACAAAGTCTAAACACGTGTTTCACTCAGGTTTATTGATACTGACTTAATTTTACCTAATAAGTGCTTCGTATGATATAACAATTTGAATCATATGACTTTCTTAATGACTAATAATTTTACCGGAGTTTAGGTGAAAACTATTCAAAAATTTAAACATTATGAAAGAAATTTCACCAACTAATTTCGTTAATGCCAAGTGTTACATAAGACCAGCTGATAGTGATAGTGTTGTGATCAGTGAAAGTCAGAGTTGTCAATTAGGACTAGTTCCATCATGGATAATTTTACTAACGCTGAAATGGCTGACATAAACTTTATTTATGGATTAGCAATGGAAAAGAGAAAGAAGTACTGATAATTCACCAGGACAGAAACTGTAACAACGACTATACTTGAAGAAACTATACTTGATGTGATAGAAGAAGAACCTTCAAATAGTACCAGGAAGACTGGAAGCTGCAGCTGGAAGTTAGCCCAAAAACCGTATGGACAGTTCTTAAAAGGAACCTCTTATACCCATATCGCATACAGCAGGTCCACGCTCTACTGTCTCGGGATTTTTACACAAGATTATTGTTTTGAAGGTGGTTGATTCATAAGATGACACACAATGACAATTTTTTATCAAATATCATATTTACGGACGAAACAAATTTTTCTCGAGATGCTATTATGAACTTCCAGAATGACTATTCTATTTTTTCTACCAGCAAGATCAACAGATGAATCCTACACAGACTGTTTGCGAGATCATTTACCCATTTTGTTAGAAGTGCGGGTACTTGTAAGATGCAACATGTGGTTTATGCACGACGGGGCTCCAGCTCGTTTAAGTGTTCTTGCTCGTCAGTATCTCGATATCCCCTACCCTAATCGCTGGATTGGACGTGCAGGACCTCAAAATTCGCCAGCTCGCAGTTCTGATATGAATCCTATTTATGAGGTCTCCTGAAGGTTCTTGTTTATGGAACTCCTGTATTAGATGTGGAATGACTTGAGGAAACGAATAATTGACAAATGCAATGTCATAAGGAATACTTCAGGAACAATTGTTCATGTTATAGGTAGTAGTATATACGTGATACTTCGAAGCTTTGATATAAACCTAAATTTCAGTGGGTTTCTCACAGACGATTATTTCTAAACTAATAACAAATTAACGGTATTGTGTTGTGCAACATTTGATGGAGAGATCAGTCAAAATCTGATTTTCATTTACTTACAAATGAACAATATTGATCCTGAGAGTTTAACAAGATCATAAACGAACCTAAATAATTCCACCATCACAAAAAGCGGTAGCCAGAATCTACAAATAATTGACGTTAAGGTGCTCACACACGCCTACAGATGAAAGAGAAACGATGAAACGGAAATTACTTTCAAAATCAAAAATCAAATCAAATCAAAAAATCTTTATTTCCGTAGACCTAGGGAAGGCATGGAAAAAGTCACATTACTCAGTACAATTACAATGAGGTCACAATCATAAAACAACATAATTATAAGATATACTATATAACATTTAGACCATAAAAGGGAATAGTTCGACATTACATGCTTATCGCTTTTTTTATAGACTGGGACGACCATTGCTTGCTTAAGCCGAGAAGGAAAAATACCTTCAGAGAAAGATAAATTGATTAGATAAATCAGAGGTTCCATTATTTTCGAAGCAGCCTTTAATGAAACATTGCCTGGCAATTCATCAACCCCACTGGAAGCAATTGTATGATGAAATAGTGAGAAACAGAAGTGAGTTGAAAAACAGTAGTACGAGTCAGTCTGAAAATTGAATCCCTCAATAAAAAGGAATGAGAATAAAATTTTGAGAACTTATCTAATGCAAGCTAGAGAAAACACCCAAAATCGGTGTTATGTCAGAGGAAACAAACTCTTTGTGAATAACATTGCATATACCATTGAAGATCTGGAATACGAAGAGAAGCCACACCCCAAAACTAATAGTGCCCCGTCAACACCAAGTACTCATTCAAATCAAATACCCGAAACAGAAAAGGAAGAACAAAGACACATTTCACTTCAAATTTCACTTCAAAAAAGTTACCTAAGCAAACCGTTCCGCCATTATCTAAAGACATATCGAGGATTAGACTTAGATTCAATAAATGAGTAGAAATTCTTCTGTTAACACTACCTTCTGTGGAGTTACTGTTTCAAATTCTTGAATGTTTTTACTATGATTTATTCAATAAAATAATCATTCTAATTTTATACCCAAATATTCGTTTTCTTACTCAAGTACCGAATTGAAATGGACCCTTATATTCGTGACTTTGTAGTTGAAAAATTAGAGACATATCCACTCAGTACCGCAGAAGAAACGAGTGTCATTTTGAAAATAAACGAAACAAACATTTGCAACATTTGCAACATTAGGTGTCATTTAGATGAATTTCTAATATTTATGAAAACCATAGATACAATTTTCGACTGTATTGTTTTTTCAGAAACTCGCATTGTTTCTGATATATCTATCTATGATATTGAGGGTTATAAAACATTGTACAATTATGGATACTATAAATAATCAGAATGATGGTGTAGTCGTTTCCATAAAGTCAGAGATATACCGATCGCATAGTTTGATGGAGTTAAATGGTAGCAATTTATTGGAAATAAATGGGAAATTTGAAGAAAAAGAAATCATTATTAATGCATTTTACAGATCACCAGCAACCAATGCTGAAATTTCTACGAATGAATTAGATGACATTTTGAACGAAGGAACTGAAAATGAACTATAGCCTCATTATTGGTGATGCAAACATTGATCTTCTAACAGATAATCAAGTTTCAGAATAATATCTGAATACTCTTGGTGAGCATGGTTTTTGTTCGGTAATCAATACTCCTACTCAGGAGCAAAGGGAATCGAGTACATGTCTGGATCACCTTTTTGTCAAAGCAAAAAATAATGGCTTCGATGAAATGTTACCCATAACAATTGCATCATCTATAACAGACCACTATACTATACTACTGCAAATCGTTCTGAGTGGCAAATCAAATACTTCGAACGAGCGTAAAAACAAATATCATGAGCAAATTCAGGAAAATAAATTCACACAAACAATTCAACTGGTAAATTGGGATGAAATACTTTGTAGCCCGGATTTGAATTCTTTGACAGGCGCATTTAACTACTCTACAAAACTGTATTAGAAATTGCACAAAATACACTAGGATAAAACATAAAAATATAAAGAGAAATAAGTGGATAACAAAACATTTGGTTGATTCCGTGAACGAAAAAAATA